TGTTTTTTTTTTTTTTTTTTTTTTTTGCTGTTGCTTTTCCAATTCTCTGAGGCACAATTATCGTAGATGACAAGCTGGCTGTTACTAACTATATGGACAGCTGTCAAAAGCTGCCCTAGGCTAAGTGGTCAGTGATTAAATGAGGGGTTTCGGTCTCATATTTAGAGTCTACAGAAGGCAGCACCTTTGTCTGGTTGGAGACAAACCGGAGGGCTGGGTGACACGCGAGTCAGAACAGTCCGTCTGTCACACACGCCGCGTAAAGGACACAGGTGCCACTTGGATCTCCATAAACAAGACATGCAGCCGGAAAGAGATGAGCCCTGACACTCAGGCCTTGTACTCCCATTGCAGGCCGAGAGGGAGAGAGGTAGCTGGGAAGTGTTTGGGGGAATCAGAGAACCGTCCCTTCAAGGGAAAGCGGTCTAAAACTAAGCGTTCTTTCAACAATGTGTGTGTTCACGGGACTTCAGCAAGTCTGCAAATCAATGGAATCAAGGTCTGTTTGGGTGCAAACAAATCTTGAAATCCATGTCTAGTTTTTTCCAATTTCATAATGTGAGCTTTTTGCAGACCCTTCACAGATGTTTTGTTTAAAATCCAAAATATCTTTCACTTTTATACTGATTGGGCCTCCTAGTTTTGTCTCCAAATTCTTAAGTGTCTGCTCTCCATGTTTTCTCGTTGAGTCTGGAGCAGAAGCCAGTTCGCATTGCCTTTGCTGCTCAATTAACATCCCACATGCTTTGCTACGGAAGAGCAGAAAATTACATGCTATAACCTGTCAGGGAACCCCAAGGGAGACATTTTAGTTATAATTAAATCTTTATTCGGTGACCTTTACCTACTACGTCCCAAAGTCTTACCCAGCCCGCATCTACAGTCCACTGGAGACTCTCCAAGGGAGCATTACCTATGCTTGCGGCACAGCAGAGACCTGGGCCCTGCCCAGCTCCCCACAGGGGCTCTGTAGTTAGGCAGCTACTGCCCAGGGTAGGAGAAAAGCAAGCCTTGGCACTGGGCCTCGAGTCTGGGGAACGGGAAGAATGGCTAGCTCCACTGAAGGAAGAATTACAGATATTACTGAGCAGTGGTCTCAAGAAATGCAGAGTCAAGCAAGAGTCAGGTCGGAATTCAAGTTTCTACCCAAGGAATCACAAAAATCTTATGTTGCGAAGAGGATACCTCCCATGATTTGATAACCAGCCATGCCAAACCAGTATCTTTCATTTACAAATGGGAGGAGTAGAGGAGGGTGGGGCAAGAGCAAGCTTGTGTTAATAAAAGTAACTGAAGGGGAAAATAAGGGCCCCATAGAAAGTCATGAAGCCACAAGGCAACGACGTAGAACCTTTCCTAGCGCCACGACTGTCCTGGCGCTCTCATCTTGACCCCGTTACAGTACGTCAGGGCGACATCAGAAAATCACGCGGAGAACTGGCTCCTGCCAAACCATGACCTTGCTCTCATTACACCAGCAATAATACATAAAGCTCCGCACTCTCAGTGTACCAGGCAAGTGGGATTTTTAGAAGCGTCTAGCTACAAGTTTTACTATCCAAGAAAAGCTGTGAGGATTGTTTTAAGAATTGATAATCAACTATTGTGACAGGTCTGCAAGTTTGGGTTTAGGGCATACTGCCAATATCCTAAAATAAGAGGCGTGTAGCGCCTGCCAGTGACGTCAGATGAGATTGGAACGCGGCACCCGTATCCACCGGACACCAGCACCATTCAGGGACCTCTCGAGGACCACTTGAAAAGGATGCATTCTGAAAACCTGCGTTTTATAGTATTTGGTGCTTCTGTCTGTCACTATGTCTCCTACGCTTACCACACACACACACACACTCACACACACACACACACACACACCCATATATCGCAACCTAACATTACAAAGCCACAAAACAATTTTGGGCCCGTCAAAGCTACTGGTCGACCGTTTTAGTCAGACCCAGTTAAAAAGCCATATGGCATCTAGTGGACGCTTGTTTGAAAAGGCTGTCCTCTAGTTCAGATATTATGAAACACCAGAGGAAGAGAGGCCTACAATCTGCTCCTTTACCCAATTCATCAAGCTACTCACTAAATAAATAATACCGATTGAATCTTCTTCACTGTGATGGAAAATAAACCCAATATACATGTGTAGCAAAAAAAAAAAAATTTTTTTTTTCACTTGTATGTAAGACTCAAAATATTCTTGCAGCACATAACATTCTAAGCCATTTCCTTATATGCAAAACAGATTTTTTGAAAAGCAAGAAGACATTGGCAATATTCCTAAATACTTTCTGCAGATGCTAACAGTGTTTTATTCCTGTGTTGTGACTCAGCTTCTCACTTCTGTCACTACAGCATGTTTCTATAGTTGTTTGTATAAGTTACTTGTGTTTGGCCTTTTGTTGTAGAAAAAAATAAATCTTGAATTTTGTGTACTTTAAGTCTTAAAAGCAAAATGTTCTTCAAATAAATGAGAAGGCTATCTATGAACAAGCACTTGACCAGCACCCAAAGCAGTAAAACTTTGTTAAAAGGTATCTCTACTTAGATTACAAATTAGGCTATTCAAAATATACAGGGGAGGGAGGATCCTAATAAGTTCATCCTAGAAGCAGACACGAGAGTCCCTATCACCCAGTAATCAACAGTCCTGCTCCAGAGCCCAGGAAGTTCCACAATGTAACCCAGGAAAGAGCTGCAAAGACGGAGGGAGTAGGCTGTCCAAAACACCCACCCCAAAGCCGGTTCAACGAACTGGCTCTGCCTTTTCTGTTTGTTTTTGTTTTTGTTTTGTTTTGTTTTCAATTTTGCTATAGGGTGTATGTGTTAATCAGAGGGAGACAAAGAGAGAAAAGGAAAGTGAGAAAGCACCCCCCAAGGGGAATAGCCGTGCCCCAATCCCTTCTCCTCCATTCTCCTCTTGGGACTCTAGACATACACACACATGTTCCTGGTCTTTTTTTCAAGCCACCAGGTCCAGGACTCAAACTGCTAAATTGGCCACGTAGGATCCAGCTGCCTTAACCACCATGCTACCAACAGGCCCACCTTCATTTGTTTTATATACCGCACCTTCATATGAAAACAAAGTGCCACTAAAAACACAAAACAAAAATCAGAACCCTCTTGGAATAATAGTCACCTGCCTATTCTCAGTAGGATATGTGATAATTCTGACACACACAAGTAATGCTTGAATCCGAGTGAAGTTATTCCATATCATAGCTCCTATAATAAAAATCAAGACTGCCATGCAATTTACACTGTTTTTTTTTTTTTTAATCTGGTGCAAAACATTATCAGTAAACAACTTTCATTCTAGAGGGGAATCCACAGCCAACTATTCCCGAGGATACCCTCATCACCTTTGGGCCATACCACCCTGGAGCTGTATCTACTGAAAGGCGTCCGGGCCTGCATCTCTCACTACACAATCGAAATAACACGAGAGATCAGCACCCCAGAAAGATGACATCTGTGGTTTTAAACACAAAAGCAACTGAAACAAACTCCAGAGTGAGTTATAAACCGGTCACATGAAGGACAGTCGGTTGTCAGTTGGCCGACCCCTGCCAGGTCTGAAGGGAAATCTGTCATTGGGGCCTCCTCGCCCAGGCAAGATGGGGTTAGGTCCTGGAAGTGGGCCGACGGGATCAAAGCGAGGTCTGAGTGGAGGGAACTGGCTGGGTGTCTGGCCAGGCCCAGGGATGAGTGAATTGATTGGGTCCCCAACATAGGGAAGTGTTGGTCTCTCATCATATTCACCACCGATAATTCCAGGAGGAAGGAGAGAGCTGGGAGGAAAAGGCCTGGGGTGCAAGGGGTTGGGGTAGAACGGAATGGGGTGGGGGGTCGGTGGCAGGAACACGTGCCGCGCACGCTGCGCTTCTTTTCTTTGTTTGTGCCTCTTCCTGTACAGCTAGAGAGAAAGAGAACAAGGTCAGGTAGGCAACTAGGGCATTTCCCCCTAATTCGAATTTGCTTTCCTTGTATAGAGCTGCCTTTTTCTTTTCCACACTATCTGGGCAGACAAAGAAAGCAGTGCCCAGAAGAGAACTCTGCCAGCTTCTCTCTGCACTCGGCGGCTGCTCGAACGTGGTGCCAACTGAAGTATTCTTTAGCCACGCTGCGATTTACACATGAGCAACTGTGCGAATCTGAATTGTAATCCAAAGGAGGGAAGGTTGAATGACATGTGCTTTCAAGACTGCAAACTGGCGCTCCCAAGCTGATATGCCATTTTAAGTTAGCCTTTTTTGAAAGGTGAAAATTTAAATATTTGTTGAAAATGTCATGCCACAAAAGATAAAGCTGAGGTACTGAGGGGGCAGGGTAGCAATTAAATTCACTTTTCTTTCTCACCTAATGTCCCTAATGGATCTCAATTGAAAACAAAAACTAGATGCCTATTTTAGAGGATGGGGCACGTTCCTAAAGAACAGTACTGCATATTCTGTACATATTTAAGGACTCCCATAGAATTCTATTCTCTAGTCCTTCGGCCCTAGGAGTTTTTCCTGAATTCTATTCTTCTCTAGTCCTTCGGCCCTAGGAGTTTTTCCCAGTCCTGTCAATGCCTTTTATAGAACAGCAGCCATCTGTAAATAAAACAGCAGTGCACATTCTTCTCATAATATGCGATTCTAACTAGCTGAGCAGCTAAAGACCGCTATGCTCCAGCACAAAGATAAATCACTTAAAAGGTTTTTTCTTTGCACCGAAAGAATAAGAGCAATTTATATGAAGATGGAAAATAATCCTTATGTTAAGATTTTTTTCTGTGTAATGATAAGAAAATATGAACTAAGTCTAAGGTAAAAAATTGAAAACATTTCTATTCAGTGAAATTTAACAATAAAAATCAATGAAAACAGATTTCATTACAGCATAATAAAAGTGAACATACAGGGGTCAGTGGATGACGTGGAGATTAGGGCACTGGATCCCACATGGTCAACTACACAGGTCAAGTTTCAGACCTGGCAACTTGCAAATCATGCAGGCCACAGGCACATGGGTGCCCAGAATCCTGAGAGGTCACCAGAGGAAAATGGACTGCAACATGGCCACCCTCCCTGAGGGGTGATTTCTCACTTTCCTTCTCTCTCTCACTTTGGTAAGCACATGCATCCTATAGTAAAAAACTGAAAAAATTTTTTAAAAAATGAAAATATATCCTTACCGTATTTTTTTATGATACAGTGCATGCATGTGCATATGAGAGACGGGGGACAGGGAGAAGCACCTTGACAGGGTCTCATCATGGCACAACTGCTTGCCCAAGACCTCCAGCTCCTCAGGATCCCAGGTGCCACACACACACCTGGCATGTTCTCAGGACAACCCAGGGAACCGAACCTATGGTCTACATGTGGATTCACTGCATGTGGTTTCCACCCACGCAGGGCCACGTCCTTAATGTATTAGTTTTTCTGTGTCATTAACATTACCCTTAATATTTAAAAATACTTACCTCTTTCCAATCTGTGTCTCGAACTCTGACAGTACCATCTATAAAGAAAAAAACAAAAAACTAGGATTTAAAAGTACTTCATTCACTCAGCATTAAACAGTGGGTTTTGTTTTCCTCCTAAGGGAAATGAACTTACTCATCAAGAATAAAATGCACCATGAATCCTTTGTATAAAACACACTGTATCATTTGTACTTTCTTGAAACTAATTCGAACCCTTCTTCATGGTTACCTCACTGCTCTGTGCCCCACGAGATTCAGTGCAGCGACCCCTAGGGGAACACCGAGGAGCTGTGGCTGCTCCCTCTCCGTGCTGAGCCCACACTGCGCCCCTCCACCACACAAATACAGGGGCGCCTCCTTAGGCGTGTCAGCTGCTTCTGACCCCATGTCATGTGACCCGCACAGGAAAGCACAGGTCAGTTCACCCATGTGAGTGGCTGTATTACCGCCCATGTCACACCTGGAGGTCAGGCTGCCTCAGGCCTTCTTCTCTGTGGGTTAGATCACTTTCCCTCAACCAGGTTTTGCACAATTCAACTATCAGAAGTATGACCGTAAATAATCATATTTAAAGCACTTATTTGAAATGAAGAAAAAGGAACATATTCAACTTTAAAGCCTGATGAGGTGGAGGGATGACAGATAATAATGGCTTCTCTGAAAGTATTTTGTCAGTATGCAAGACTCATAAAAGCTCCCACCCGAGAATATTATTCTGTATTTGTAGGAAATTCATTATAAAATCTGAACACTCAGCTTACAAATAAGCGTATGGACCACAGTCTGGAAATGAGATGAAGACTGACTACACTTCAAAAGTAAACTTGAACACACAAGTGAAAGGCACTCCTCCCTCTTATGAGCGTTTATGTTAAGGCCTACTTTTATCTCTGTCACTTTTTCCATATATGTCGGCCACTGTGTCTTTTCTTTTTGACTATACTTTTTTAAAAAACAATGTTTTTTAATGACACTTAACTGCCAGTTGTGACAAAATGTTTCAGACTCTCAATTCAGGGGCATAAAGTGGAATGAGGACCTTGGGAATCAAGAAGGAGGAAAAGAGATAAATCAGCTTATTCTCACTTCTTATTTGAAGTTTTAAAAGAAAAAAACTAATCTTTAACAATCCAAATGGCTTGACAGGACATTCTATTTAAAAAAGAGAAAGTGAGAGAATCTACCCCCTAGATTTGTACAGTTGCTAAGGAAATATGTTAACATCTCCCATGGCAACATCATCAATGTTTTCAATGTGAAATCTAAAACAAATGCTTTACAATATACATATATTACACATAAATAACTGAAATAGAAGTTTACTCCTTTTTATAAATAAGGATACTACTGATAAAATAAATACTGGTTTTCCTAACATGGTTTTTTGAGAGGGGGATAATATTTTTTTCATGAAATGACCTAATAAAGCGATTCATGACCTAACTCAGGATCAAACAACAATCTGAAAAATACTGGTACGTCATAAAACGGTAGTGTCAGAAGAGACATATCATGACGAGGCTTTTAGCCTTGGGTCTGGAAATCCTGGCACTCAAGCTGTACTATCACCACTGCCACAACGATCCCCAGGGCACCGCAGTGTGACCACACAGAAATAAAGCTGCCTAGCAACATGCCACAGCTGAGCGAGGCTCTCTGCCTTGCACACTGGTCTCCCTTGTGGAAGTGGGTTAGAAATGCAGCTCATCTTGGGCCAGGAGACGGTGCAGACATTAACCCAGCTGGATTCCACATGACCAACTGCATGGGTTGGGACCTGGTGGCTTAACTGGACCCCATCAGCTTGAAAATCACACTGGGCAGGTGTGCGTGTGTGCCCAAAATCCCACAAGGAGAATGGAGAAGAGAGGACTGTGGAGTAGCCACAGGGTGACTTCTCACTTTCCCTCTCTTCTCTCTTCCTCTTCCTCTGACTTTAATCTGGTAATGTGTCCTAGAGGAAAAAAATAAATCAATAAAAAGAAATGCATCATCTCTAAGTCAGAGACTGAGAGTGGTCTTTAGAGAAAATAAATCTAACTTACTGCCGTTCTATCCTGAAATAATCTACTCAGTCTAGTGGGCTATTTGTGTTACAGACTGTACAAAAATGAATGAGGAGAGTTTTTAAGACACAGGCAAAGATAAAGAAGCCTACAATCTCTTTACTCTAAGGCTGTGTGTTATGATTTGCAACTTAAAAAAAAAAAGCCTACAACTAAAAACTTTGGGCAAGCTGTACAAATAAGGACACAGTAAGAAAAAGGCCTTTTCTTGTGAACATATCATTATGGAAATCACCTCGAAAATCCCGCAGGTACAAACACCTCCACAGCAGTGGGTCATTCGAAGCAATAAAGAGGTCACGACAAACTGCAGACAAGGACAGGACAGAACGCACGTCCAAAAGCCGAAAGATCCGCAGCTTCAGCTCCAGTGGGAGGACCACCAGCCCAAAGACATCTGGTAAGTTCAGTGCTAAAAGGAACAAAGACAGACGTGACAGGTCACTGGGTACAGAGCATCCAGTCTCCCCACAGCCAACAGATGCTGCCACTTGTTCCTTTCCAAAGAGTGACCAATTCGATGGCAATCTTGATGCCCCAAGCACTCGTCGTCTGTGACAACTTTTTACCCCAGGTGAGCATATCAGCACTGACGCACACAGCTCCAAGTCCCTCATTCCCTTGATGTTTTAGTATAAAGACAAATACTTTTTAATATTAATCAAATAATACCTACGACAATGACTAAATACTACCCAATCAACTCTTCTGTGTCCAACAATATTCAGTACAGAAAATGGATAATTCACTGGCTTTTATACCTGTTCCCCATACCAGCCATTTATTAGTTTTGGACAAGTTATTTAAACTCAAATTTGATTTCCTCATCTGAAAAGTGGGTTCATTAACTACACAATACCTACATCACCAAGTTGTTGTGAGAATTAAATGTTTTCATGAGAAGACTTCAGAAAGTCCATGAAAAAATGAAATTAAAAGATGAAAATTAAAACAGCTATTTCTCAATATAAATTGAATCACATTTAAGACACTTTGTAAGCAATGATCCAGCCCCTCAATCTAGCCCTAAAAAACTGAGGGTCCAAGGAATTCAACTATGTCAGTGTGGTCTTTTTTCACATGGTTAACTAAAGAAAAACAGGTGCCCATTAAAGATTGTTTAACATTAGGAAACCAAAAAGTCAGAAGGAACCAAATCAAGACTGTAAGTCAGATGCCTAATTTCCCACCAGAGCTCACACAAAATTGCTTGTTTGATAAGAGGAACAGGACCACTGTGATGGAGGGCGCTCTGGTACGCTTTCCCAGCATCCTTCAGCGAAAGCGTCTCCTAACCTTCTCAAAACACTCTCATTATAAACAGATGTTCATAATGAACACTTCGACCCTCCAGAAAGCCAACATGTAAGTGCCTTAAGCATCCCCAGAAACTGTGCCATGACCTTTACTCTTGGCCAGACGCTCCAGCTTTGACTAGACCACTGCCGCCTCTCGGTAGTCTTCGCTTTGACTGGTAAAGCTGCCTTTCATCTCCTGTTAACAATTTTTCAAATAAACGCTTCAGGATCTTGAACCCACTTATTTAAAATTTCCACTGAAAGGTCTGCTCTTGTCTGCAGCTATTCTAGGCACAACAGTTTTGGCCCTGTCAAGTAGAAAGCTTGCTCAATTTTTTTTAAATAATTATTTATTTAATTGTATTTATTATTATTGTTATTTTTAATCTGACCAGAGAGATAGAGAGAGAGACGAAAAGTGAAAAAGCAAGCTGCCAGGTCCGGGACTCTAACTGTGGTTGGCCAAGTGGGAGTCCAGCACCTTAACCATCACACCACCTGCCAGCCCAGCTGCCCAATTTTAATTCTCAGTCAGGACTGTGTAATCTCAACCTACTCTGGAATTGGCCATTGTTCCTGCTGTTAATTGTTGGTCCTCTTCCATCAGGACAGGACAAGATTAAATTTTTCCTCGTGAATTTACAGGGCTGATCTGCCACTTAGGGAATCATCTTCAACATCGTCTTGGCTCTTCTTAAAATAAGTTCTCCATTTGTAAACAGCTGATTGCTTTGGGGGGCACTGTCCCTATAAACTTATCATAAAGTATCAGTGATTTCACCATTCTTCTACCCAAGCTTAAACATAAATTTGATGTTTGTTCTGGCTTCCATTCACGGTACTCTGACAAAGGCGCTTTTCACACTGACTGATGTCTCATCTTTCTCAATACCTCGAACCAGATCCAGTTCAGTCATGTTATAACAAGTCAGTACAAATTTACTTTGGTGCAAAAACATTTTGAAATTCATGCCGCTTTTCATAATATGCATTTTCCGTGAACTATCTGAAGACCCCTCCCATACACACAAAGTGCTGAGCACAAGAGCACAATGTTTGGCACATGTGAAGCACTCAAGGGTTAGCAGTTGCTATTATTTAACGTCTAGCAGGCTGAAGATGAAGATAGATAAATTCAGAAGAAAAGCCAAGAAAGGAAAGGAAAAAGTATGTTTCAGTCAAATCAAAATTATTTTTTGAGTATTAGCTCCTTAGAAACATCTGTAAAATTATTCTCTAATAGCAAAGATAAACCTATATCTAACAGACACCTTTAAGGGTTTTTAAATTCTCATTATTGGGGCAGGCAAGTGGTATGGTGGCTAAGGGCACTAGACTCCCATAGGACCAACTGCAGTTCGAGTCTCCGACCTGGCAGCTTGCTTTCTCACTTTCCCTATCTCTCTCTCTCTCTTTCTGTCTCTCTCTGGTCAAATTAAAATAAGCAAATAAGTAAATAAAGTTAAATACAATAATTCTTCAAAGAAAAAAAAAATGCACACTATTTTCCTTCCCCTACCACTAACTATAAAGTGGTACCATGGCACCCTATAACTTGAAACCAGAAGTATTACTTATTTCTCTACAGACAGATAGCAAATAGAGGTCCTATATCTACTTGCATAAGTCTGATGCTATCAGCTCAAGAACTGTGGTAAACTATATGCTGGTTCTTAATTACTTCCTACCCAACAGTTACACTACATCAGACTTGACCATTTTTGACTTATTTTGTCTCATGGAATTTGTGTGGGTAACAGACATCATTTCTGAGCAAAAGCTCTGGGAACCAATCCGGTCAGGCCTCGGCCCACTTGTCTCTGTCCCAAGGGCATGTCCTGAATAAAACCAGTCCTTCAGCCAAAGGAAATCCACTCACAGCATGTACATGAGTGAGAAATACATGTTCCCTCTAAGCCACCGACCGAGATTTTAGATGTTTTACCACAACATCAGTAAGAGAAAGCTGACTAATATAAACCTCAATGAATTATAATATCATCTATAAAATATAATTGAATTTTCAAAGTTACTAGCATTAAATGAGAATATATGTGAAACATCCAACAAAGTGCCTGACATGGTATCCTCAGTAAACACTGGTTTAATAAGAAAAAAAAGTAGACCTAATTTACAGGCTACCCTTTACTTCTTTGTATATTTAGTAAATAGCTATTATGAGTCATGAGAATACAAAAGTAAAACATTTGCCTTAAAGGTACTCACAACCTTGGGGCAGGGGGAGGAATTATAGCATCCATTAGAACTCAGTGGGAAAAATTCTCCAATAAAAGTCATGCACAAAATACTACAGAAATACAAAAAAGTGAGTAATATCGAAGAAATTAACATGTAAGCTTAGTCTTAAAAGAACAGAACTTCACTAGGAGTGAAAAAGAGGGAAGTCAGATGTCACAGGGTCACCAAGCACATTAAGCATACTTAAGTTCTTCCCAGCCAGTCGACCTGTGACAACTCTTCATCTCTCACCTTGCCGGGTAAAAGCCAGAAGAGGATACACCAACTGGTCTTTGAAGAGGCGAGAGAGCTTCTGAAGATCTTTATATATCTTGGCTGCATTTTCCCCTGGAATAATATTTTAAAAGAAAAATTAAAACGCCAAATCGAGTGGAAAAACTGAAAATGGGTTTGTACTCTACTTCTGCCAAGTCAAATCGAGGCAAATACTCACAAATAATTACTACATGGATAAAGGTTAGTAAAGTTTATGCTTGCTCCCCCACCCCCAATTCCCTTTTCCCAAACGGAAAACCAGGTAAAGAATGGGAATCTGAGCTATATCTCTGTAAAAGTTTTCAAAAGGCTGAGTCAAATAAATCAATTTCAATCTTAAACTCTACTATCTTCTAGCTCCATGACCCTGAAGTCATTTAATCTCCTCTAGCCCTGTTTCCGGATCTATAACGTGGGCATAAGATCCTTTACTACTATAGAACATAGAGTACTTCCACTCCCATAGCAAGGTCCTCCCTAGTATAAAGATGAACATAGGGTGTTACAGCCAAGGGATTTTAGGTTTTTCTGATACCATTGGTAAGACCATCCTTACGGATTCACATTAGTCTAGTTCAAGGTAAAGACTGGCTCTTGGGGCCGGCAGGTGGTATGGTGTAGTTAAGGGCGCTGGATTGCCACATGGCCGACCATGGCTTGAGTCCTGGACCTGGCCACTTGCTTTCTCACTCTCTTTCTCTCTCACTCTGTCCTTCTCTTGTATAACTAAATAAATCAATAAAATTAAATAATTCTTAAAAAACAAAGACAAAAACCCTAGCTATTACAATGTGACCCTCCGCATGGTTACAGTACATACATAAACATATACCATATTTGCAGTAATAAAATTTCATGGGGGCCCAGGCTCTGCGGCAGTTGGTAATATACCAGACTGAGGAGCTGGAAGTCATATGCCAGTTGTGGTTCAAATTCTTGGCCTGGTTGGCATATGCCCAGTACCTATCTCTCTCTCTGTGTCTTGCATACACACTCTCTCATGAACAGGAAAAAACTTTATGGAGGAGAGGAATTGGGGGAAACATCGATAAAGGCTCCTTAGAGGAGAGATCATTTAAAAAGACTAAGAAACACTAGTCTAGTCTGACATTAAATATTCAATTCAACCAATGCTCAGATTTTGATTCTAGGTCCAACCAGAGATCATCATAGACACGTATTCTGCTGTCTCCTTTTCCTGTCAGTTTTAGTACTGTAAGTTAGTCTCTCAGGGCCTGATCTCCCCTAAGCACTAACGGGACCAGGTCTCCAGGCCTCCAGAGCAATGGCCTAGACCTAGGCCCTGCCTACATTCTGCCCATGCCCTCTCCCACTGTGCTCTGAGTTCACTGCAGGAGTAGAGAACGTGCCTAAAGACACACATCCAGCCTCGAGAGAGCACTTATAAAAGATGTCAGCTGCCCTCCCCGCCCCACATCTTCTCCTCCGACCACCTATCTGCCTCTCAGTGTGGGTTTAACTGATAGACAGGAAAAGGAAAACATGTCTTCCTGGCATTTACTAATAATCTCATAGAATATACGCAAAACCATACCTAGAATGCAAACTTTTGCAAAGTTCCAATCTGCATCAGAGGGTAATCAAATTTACAGAAGTCTAAACAAATATTTTCAGTGTAGTTTTTCCTCTAATAATCTTCAGAAATGAAGATTCGCTGAATGACTTCCACAAAACACAGATCTGCTCCATACTGGTTAAATACAACGCTAGAGAGATCTCCAAAGATTGGCACAGAAACTATGACATATCATCAGAGTGTGATAAATTACATACTGGCGTTATTTCAGCAAATATAACTCAGCAATAAGACCCTATGAAAAAGAGGAAAGAAACTGCTGTGTTTGTTAAAACCAAAACCTTTGTGTTTTGTTGTTGTTGTTGTTTCAGTTTTTGCTATACAATGAATGCACTCACCAGAGAGAGACACAGAAAGTAAGAAATCACCCCTCAGGGGGTGGCTTCGCTGCAATTCCTTCTCTTCTGGCCTCCTCTCAGGATTTTGGGCACACACACACACATGCACCAGCATGACTTCCGGCTGCCAGGTCCAGGGCTCAAACCGCACAGCCAGTCATGTGGGATCCAGCCGCCTTAACCTCACACTTACCTGCTGGCTCCAAACCTTTGCATTCTTAAAAAGTCAACGGTGATGTAAACTTGCTTTAATCTCATTTCGAAATTTTTAGTCTTCCAAACATTATTTCAGTTTTCTTTGTTTAAGTGAATTCTCAAAGCTTCATCCCCAAGTTACATCGTGGTTACATTACCTGGTTCCTCTTGGTGAATGAAAGACTCTGGCAGCAGCTGCAATCTTTTCACACTCCTGATCTCATTGTTGATTTTTAATGTAGCTGTAAGTCAGTAAGTAAAAGAACGACAGAAAGTGTTTGTCACTTCAACTGCCTTCCTGTTTCAGTATAAGCCTGCATTTCCTCACACCCCCAATACACAGAGGACACATTACACAAACAAACCGCTCTGTGCCTCTTCCCTTCCCTTGCAGCAAGGTCAAAAGTGTAAACCGGCCATCACATGAAATAAAATCACTCCAAAGTACCACCTTTGAAAACGACAGTAAGCATCTTTATATAAAATCCACTAAGCATTACCGACAGCAGCTTATTAGCAATTGAAAGATATGCAGCAAGATTAATAGGCGACAGCTAAACACAATAAAGTCACTATTTCTAATGAAGTCATTAAAAACTCCATTTATTTTTTTATTTAACCTTGGCAGTGAGTCTTCCCTTGTTCATTAAAGAATCCTGCTAGTTTTCACAGCATCGTCTCTCTAGGTCCACGGGCCCAATATTCCTGACATCACAGAGAGCTCAATCATGCATACAAAGGTACACTTCATCTCACCCCATGAAAGAGCCAGTGATGGGCTCATGCACATGTGCACCAAGAAGGATGCTTGGGTGAAGGGAAGATTTAAGGACAACACACTGCTCCTTTTCAAGGCATCAAGCCTGGAATGGTTGGCAGCCACTACCAGTAACAGAGGCGCCAAGAACTGTAAAGGAACAAAGTATCAGAAACTAAGAAGTCATCCAGACGTTTAGCAGCTGTTCTCTTTACGGAAAGTACCCTGAAACTAGTCAGAAGTTAGTGTGCAGGTCATTAAGTGCTTTCATAAGAAACCTGGGCAAACATTGCTGCCACTTCCCATTTACTACTTGATAACTCCAACCTGCAAGTTACCATGGGATGCAGCAGCCCGACTACATAACGGCAGAAACTGCTGACACCGTGCACCACGGTGCCAAGCCGGCTGGACGGTGACCAGCAGTAAAGTGCAGTCCCATGTGGGAAGGTTCCAGGTTTGTATCCAGTAGACTTCCCTGAGTAACCGGGCACATACTGGGGGTGAATCGTGGTAGCAAAGACCCTGGTGGGAGTGTTGTCTCTCTATCTGTGTGTCTCTCTCATGGAAAAAATAAATAAACTTAAAAAAAAAAAAAAAGGAATGCTTAACTAAAAGGTACATTTGCTAATTGTGATGAAGTATTGAAAAGACACTGCTGGTCCTATGCCGTCCTCATAGTCATGTCCTGAAAAGTGTGAACGACCATCAAAGCTGTTTAAGCTGAAAGTTTGAGACTTTTAAATAACATTTCAAAGAATCTGGTGATTAATACAAAATAGGACGAATTATGTAAGAAAGGACCTAGAACTATCTTCCTTTCAAAGATCAAGATAGGTAAGTAACAACTTTCAAAATAAATTTAACAGGGAAAAAACATTTCTTTTCAAACAAAATCTGGGCTAGCTCCATATCCTAGCGGTTAAGGGAAGCCAGATCCTACATGGCTGACTGCAGGCCAAGTTCCACACCTGGTGTTTGAAAAGCAAGCTGGGTATGTACACGCATGTGCACTAAATCCCAACCATATGGAGAGATGAGGAGACGGGGTCGGGGTTACCACGTCCCATTAGGGGTGCTTTCTCCCTCTCCTCCTTTCTCTCCCTGTCTCTGCTGAGGGCATATGCCCTCTAGCAATTAATTTGTTTTTTTGTTTGTTTTTTTGTTTGTTTTTTTTTAACACAGGACCTTAACAATGAAAATACATAAACACTTTGCTGTTCAAGGTCTAGGGGGAGTTCTACCCAATTCCCACCTCAGCAGAAACGGCAGCAGCAGTAAGTAGCTGCAGAACATGTTGAAAACTCCTGATTTAAGGCAAACCAAGGCAACTGCCTCTGCTATATAAATGAACCATACTGAAATCAAAACAAAACAGGAATTCTTTTTTTTTTCTTTTTTTTAGACAGAATCTTTGCTATAGGGTCCATGTGCTCAAGAGAGAGACAGTAAATAAGAAATCACTCCCCCAGGGGGTATGGCTGTAATGCAATCCCTTCTCTTCCATTCTCCTTTCAGGATTTTGGGCACACACGCACATGCATCTGGCTTGAGTTTCAAGCCACTGGGTCTAGGACTCAAATCATGATCAGCCATGTAGGAGTCCAGCACCTTAACCACCCTAGCAACTGCAGATCCCTAAAAATTCCATTCTCGCAACACCATATTACCTAGCTAAAGTGATAAACCTCAAAAACAAATGAAATAATAAAAATGAAAGACTCTAGTCACTCAAGTGGACCTCCAGCATGTGTGATTATGAGATGATTCTGAAGACCCCTGGTAGCTGATATGGACCTGAGTAGCATCCGAAATAAAATGACCACGAAGATGCAATGTATTATTATCCCAGTGAAATTTCTTAATATGAAAAAGGAAAAGTAGAAAATTTCTTATTCCGTGATTTTCACAGGTAAAGGGGGAATGAGACAGACACACACACACAGGCCTCAGAATCATCAGCAATGTTTCTATGCACTGCTGGTCACAGAGATGCCAAACTGGACCAGTGGTGATCCCACCTGATCTCTCAGTTCCAAGCCTTCATTAAGAGAAAGAGAGAAAAAGGAAAGAAAGAAAAAAAGAATGAATGAATGAACAAACAAAACATCCATGGGCATGAAAAAAGAAAAAGTATTCTTCAGAGTTCACATACAATACTCATTTCACTCCTATTATCACATCTCCCCTGGGTGCAAAATACGACGACGGTTAAGACGTCAGAAGAGTGAAGGCTCTGCCTAAACACCAACCTCATGTTCTATGATATTCCAACAGGGGTATCAGTAGTCTAGAAATTAAACCAATAAGGCGAAGACAGCTTGCAACTACATCATGATAGCCAATCCTGGAGTAGCTATAAAACACCTGGAGGAAACATGCACATCTGCAGAAAGAGGCAAATGACCTTGTGACCCCCTTACCATTGACGACAATCAGGTTTCCCAAAGGCACACAGGTGAGAGAAGCAGAGCCGCCCTCACACAGAGGATGTGTGTACTGCAGCCTGAACACACCACCCGACTTCCACTTCTCTGGCATGGCCACTGCTTTGGCTTCGGTCCCCTGGGGAAAGAATTGAAAGGGAAACAAATGAAGAAAGATGTTACTCTCAAAGAAATAAAAAATCTAGGAGCCAGCAAGTAGCATGGTAGTTAAGGCGCTAGACTCTCACGTGGACAACCGTGGTTCTGGTTCCAGACTCAGCAATCACAGATCACACCGGGCATGTGTGTGTACGTGTGTGTGTATACCCAAAATCCCAGGAGGAATATGGAGGAGAAGGGATTGTGGTGTGGCCATCCCCCCTGGGGGTAATTTCTCACTTTCCTTCTCACTGTCTCCAGTGGGCACATGTACTCTATGGCAAAAACTTGAAAAAAAAATCTAAAAGACTCCTAACTTGTTTAGAAATAAGTATTTCTACACAGTCTCCTTAAACAAATGTATCAAACCATTAATATTCCTACTAATGGGCGATAATATTGGATTGTTGGGAAAGTCATAATGCATTTTTGCATAGAAAAATACATGATTTTCCCAATAACCTAATATAACATTCTTCTATCAAAATCTTTGCTCAAATACATAAAATATCGTAGACTGATTTCTCTCGACAGACTCACTTCTTTGCTTAGCAAAGCCATATCATTATTCAAGACCCCAACACAAATGCTGCTTCCTTTGTAAAGCCTTTTTCAAAAAACCATCCTGTAGCCATTTTATCACCTAACATTCTGCTCATTTTCCTACTGTGATATACGTGTTATGTTATTTACCTATTTATGTTTATTTATATTATTCAGACATTATAACTATCTTTGTATTTGTCTCTCTCTCCTACTTATGGACCCATTCAGAACCTTAGAAGGAGCATTCCATTATTTCATTCTAATTCCGGGCTCCGAGCATGGCTCTTGTTGGTCTGTAATGGTCAGTTAATTACTGTACATCTTTGTAACGCCCAGTGCGACCCAGAGACCAGGAGCATCAGTACCGCATGGAAATATGTAGAGCTCAGGCTCCATTCTACATTTGCTGAACCAGACTCCACACCTCAGGAAGACCCCCAGGTACTCCAAAGCATCCTGAAGCGTGAGAAGCTCTGCTCTCAGTGGTCTCTTCTACGAACCCCTGGCATCCCACCGTCCCTCCTAGAACCTGCTCATAGACTGCCGTGGTTTACACCTTGTCTATCTGCCACACTCAACTCAGGCAACTCGACAGCAGAGACTATCCACACATACATGTGACCTGAGAAGAGGGACAAGACACTGTTCCTAATACTGACAGATGCATATCAAGCAGATATCGAATGAAGAAAGAATGAATGAAAGAATCCAGATATACAACAACAGCATCAGAGCAACGTCCCACTTCCTAACTGAATCGTACTAAGTTACTGGCATTCATAGAGCAGTTAACATAGAAAATCACCTAGTGAACTTACTTGTCTAATATACCCAATCCACACACATTAACATTTTGTTTATGCATTACTGTACATAATCTTTTGTCCTTTTCTCAATACCATAGTTGCCATCACCCTCTGTAACAGTAACGAAAAACTGACAAAATAAACGAGAAACAAAAAACAAAAAGAGGGCCGAACGTTTACCGAGTGCTACTATAGCCCATCACTGACGGCACTCCATGCTCAGTCCCAAACACCTCGAACATCCCACATCCCAGAGGCATTATGGATGTGCCCTTTCCCAGTGGGAGCCTCACACCCTTCCAGGATGCCTGCTTTCCGGTGTGGCGCTTACCTGAGGGAGGTAGCCTGACTCCAACATGAGAAGATGGATCGACACCACCAAGGCCTCGTTGGCATCGGCACAGTCGGCTGACTGATACAGAGTCTCCAAGGAATGAGGCACTTGCCCTTCCACGGCCTCGCTGCACAGCATGGGTTCTGTGGGACAGAAACCTGCGCCCTCGTCCACATCCTCAACGTCCCGCAGCGACTCGGCTTCAAAGCTGGGACCAGGCCCTGACTGAAAAGATAACAAAAACAAGGTCACTACAAAGGCGTATTTTATACAGTATATTTTATATCCTGACGTAAACTGAGATTAGTGCTCCAAGTCGTGGGCTCAAAAGGGAGTCATTTTAAACAAACCTTCACAAATAAACAAGCCTGAGACCTTCTCCTCCCTCAATTCCTTATCCCCTTCATTCTAACAGGCAGAAAGCCCAGAGATCATCCCGGACTCCTCCTCTGCCATACTAAACCTCGCCCCAAGTCTGATCAGTCTTCTGAGTTCCCTGAACATAATCCCAAAGGGCCCAGCGTCTGCCTTCCTACTCTACTGGTACGTCAGACCAGAGGAGTAAGTAAGACTGCCTAGCTCCTGCCTTCAGCCAAGACCCTGACAAGTATCTCTGTGTTCACTTTCTTGCCTTCCAGTACATTCTACCCACTGACACCAGAATTTCCTGATGACTAAGAATCCAACTATGTCCTATGTCCCAGCTTAAAACTCACTGGTACATCCCCAACACAGACAACAGCATTCTCCTTGATTGCTCCTTAGACTGTGACCCTAAATATTCTTAGGAAAAAAGTTGGTCCACAACCAAATGCAGTGTTTCTACATGTGCTACATGCTACAACAACCTAGCCCCACTCTCCATATTCACAAACTACATTACAGCATTATTAAAACTCTGCAGAGTCTAATAATAATAGGTGCACATGTTCCACCAAGAAACACTCTTGCTCCCTCACCCCTTAGCATCCATCCAACACAATTTCATGAAACAAGTTTTTCATGAAGGACATTTAGAGAAATGTAGTTCGCGGGACCTTCAGTAGATGTTATAGCTATGTCACTGGACTCCCATGTAGTTGACTATGGTTCAAGTCCCAGATCTGGTGGCTTAAAGTCACCCTTAAAGTCACCCTGGGCACTTGTGCATGCGTGCCTAAGATCCCAAGAGGAGAATGGAGAAGCAGGGATTGTGGCATGGCCATCCTCCCTGGGGGGTGATTATTTCTCACTTTCTGTCTCTGTCTTTCTAGGAGCGCACACGCCCTATGGCAAAAAAAAAAAAAAAAAACTCTCAAAAAGAAAGAAAAGAGAAATGCAGTTCGATGAATTTAAGTCCAACCCCCTAAACTCCTTGGCGTATCATCACCTAACCCCTGACTCTTTATCAAGTTCACGTTCTGCCAGTCCCTTCCTACCCACTGCCATCTTCCCTATCTCTGCATGAGTAATATAGACTACCACCCTCCCTTGCAAAGGTCTGGCTCCCTGCATCTGACCCCACTGTGTTGCAATTCTCTGATCACACATCTGCACCCCTCCACGACTGCCAGCTTATGAAGGACCAGACTGCATGTCACCCATTTTCATAACCCCGGTAGAGTACCTGGCAGAGTGGCCATTCAATAAATACTATAGTACAAACACCGAAGGACAATGTCTTACAATTTTAAAGTGTTTTCGCATTTGTACCCTCCAACCATCCAATAAAATAGATAATGTAGCCTTTTTATAGATGCTATCATTATAACTTAGAAAGATCAAATAACACAATCAAGGTTACCAGCTATAAAAACCTGAAACAAATTCAGATCTCCAGACTCACAGTTCAGGAATTTTAGTAGTAATAAGCTGCTTAACTAAAATCAAATTACCTTTGTTCGTTTTGCTCAGAAAGCTTGTTTCCTAGGCATGTGCTCAACTCTAAATGTGAAGCATGTGCTTTCTCTTTTTAAGTTTGTGCTTCCACTAAAGGAGGAGCAGAGAAAATTAAAATTATGTAGTATGAGTGAAAGTTTGGAGTAATATAAGAGAGCCAGAGCTGATGACTGTTCTTCCAACATCTCTTACAAAATTATCTAAATTTACCTGTTACGATCTACAGGCCAATGACAACTTGTACTACCTAAAAAAGGAGGTATGGCACAAAACCATTTTTGTATTTTGTGGTATTTTTTTCTTTCTTTCTTTCTTTTTTCTTAGAGGTTTTTGCTATAGGGTGCGTGCGTTCGCCAGAAAGACAAGAGACAGAGAGACAGAAAGCGAGAAATCATCCCCCAGGGGGATGACCACGCTGCAATCCCTGCTCCTCCATTCTCTTCTTGGGATCTTGGGCATGCACACACACGCGCCTGGCATGAGTTTAAGCCACCGGGTCCAGGATTCGAACCACGGTCGACTACGTGGGAGTCCAGCAACATAGCCATTATGCTAACTGTTGGTCACTTTATGGTATTTTTCAAGCAAATGGAAACTACTATACTAAAAAAACAATTAACACTGAGCTAAACTTTTTTTTTTTTTTTTGCTATAGGACGCGTGCGCTCACCAGACAGAGAGAGAGAGAGAGAGATATTTCTACACAGTCTCCTTAAACAAATGTATCAAACCATTAATATTCCTACTAATGGGCGATAATATTGGATTGTTGGGAAAGTCATAATGCATTTTTGCATAGAAAAATACATGATTTTCCCAATAACCTAATATAACATTCTTCTATCAAAATCTTTGCTCAAATACATAAAATATCGTAGACTGATTTCTCTCGACAGACTCACTTCTTTGCTTAGCAAAGCCATATCATTATTCAAGACCCCAACACAAATGCTGCTTCCTTTGTAAAGCCTTTTTCAAAAAACCATCCTGTAGCCATTTTATCACCTAACATTCTGCTCATTTTCCTACTGTGATATACGTGTTATGTTATTTACCTATTTATGTTTATTTATATTATTCAGACATTATAACTATCTTTGTATTTGTCTCTCTCTCCTACTTATGGACCCATTCAGAACCTTAGAAGGAGCATTCCATTATTTCATTCTAATTCCGGGCTCCGAGCATGGCTCTTGTTGGTCTGTAATGGTCAGTTAATTACTGTACATCTTTGTAACGCCCAGTGCGACCCAGAGACCAGGAGCATCAGTACCGCATGGAAATATGTAGAGCTCAGGCTCCATTCTACATTTGCTGAACCAGACTCCACACCTCAGGAAGACCCCCAGGTACTCCAAAGCATCCTGAAGCGTGAGAAGCTCTGCTCTCAGTGGTCTCTTCTACGAACCCCTGGCATCCCACCGTCCCTCCTAGAACCTGCTCATAGACTGCCGTGGTTTACACCTTGTCTATCTGCCACACTCAACTCAGGCAACTCGACAGCAGAGACTATCCACACATACATGTGACCTGAGAAGAGGGACAAGACACTGTTCCTAATACTGACAGATGCATATCAAGCAGATATCGAATGAAGAAAGAATGAATGAAAGAATCCAGATATACAACAACAGCATCAGAGCAACGTCCCACTTCCTAACTGAATCGTACTAAGTTACTGGCATTCATAGAGCAGTTAACATAGAAAATCACCTAGTGAACTTACTTGTCTAATATACCCAATCCACACACATTAACATTTTGTTTATGCATTACTGTACATAATCTTTTGTCCTTTTCTCAATACCATAGTTGCCATCACCCTCTGTAACAGTAACGAAAAACTGACAAAATAAACGAGAAACAAAAAACAAAAAGAGGGCCGAACGTTTACCGAGTGCTACTATAGCCCATCACTGACGGCACTCCATGCTCAGTCCCAAACACCTCGAACATCCCACATCCCAGAGGCATTATGGATGTGCCCTTTCCCAGTGGGAGCCTCACACCCTTCCAGGATGCCTGCTTTCCGGTGTGGCGCTTACCTGAGGGAGGTAGCCTGACTCCAACATGAGAAGATGGATCGACACCACCAAGGCCTCGTTGGCATCGGCACAGTCGGCTGACTGATACAGAGTCTCCAAGGAATGAGGCACTTGCCCTTCCACGGCCTCGCTGCACAGCATGGGTTCTGTGGGACAGAAACCTGCGCCCTCGTCCACATCCTCAACGTCCCGCAGCGACTCGGCTTCAAAGCTGGGACCAGGCCCTGACTGAAAAGATAACAAAAACAAGGTCACTACAAAGGCGTATTTTATACAGTATATTTTATATCCTGACGTAAACTGAGATTAGTGCTCCAAGTCGTGGGCTCAAAAGGGAGTCATTTTAAACAAACCTTCACAAATAAACAAGCCTGAGACCTTCTCCTCCCTCAATTCCTTATCCCCTTCATTCTAACAGGCAGAAAGCCCAGAGATCATCCCGGACTCCTCCTCTGCCATACTAAACCTCGCCCCAAGTCTGATCAGTCTTCTGAGTTCCCTGAACATAATCCCAAAGGGCCCAGCGTCTGCCTTCCTACTCTACTGGTACGTCAGACCAGAGGAGTAAGTAAGACTGCCTAGCTCCTGCCTTCAGCCAAGACCCTGACAAGTATCTCTGTGTTCACTTTCTTGCCTTCCAGTACATTCTACCCACTGACACCAGAATTTCCTGATGACTAAGAATCCAACTATGTCCTATGTCCCAGCTTAAAACTCACTGGTACATCCCCAACACAGACAACAGCATTCTCCTTGATTGCTCCTTAGACTGTGACCCTAAATATTCTTAGGAAAAAAGTTGGTCCACAACCAAATGCAGTGTTTCTACATGTGCTACATGCTACAACAACCTAGCCCCACTCTCCATATTCACAAACTACATTACAGCATTATTAAAACTCTGCAGAGTCTAATAATAATAGGTGCACATGTTCCACCAAGAAACACTCTTGCTCCCTCACCCCTTAGCATCCATCCAACACAATTTCATGAAACAAGTTTTTCATGAAGGACATTTAGAGAAATGTAGTTCGCGGGACCTTCAGTAGATGTTATAGCTATGTCACTGGACTCCCATGTAGTTGACTATGGTTCAAGTCCCAGATCTGGTGGCTTAAAGTCACCCTTAAAGTCACCCTGGGCACTTGTGCATGCGTGCCTAAGATCCCAAGAGGAGAATGGAGAAGCAGGGATTGTGGCATGGCCATCCTCCCTGGGGGGTGATTATTTCTCACTTTCTGTCTCTGTCTTTCTAGGAGCGCACACGCCCTATGGCAAAAAAAAAAAAAAAAAAACTCCCAAAACAAAAAGAAAAGGAAAAAGGAGGTTCGATGAATTTAGGCCCAACCCCTAAACTCCTTGGCGTATCATCACCTAACCCCTGACTCTTTATCAAGTTCACGTTCTGCCAGTCCCTTCCTACCCACTGCCATCTTCCCTATCTCTGCATGAGTAATATAGACTACCACCCTCCCTTGCAAAGGTCTGGCTCCCTGCATCTGACCCCACTGTGTTGCAATTCTCTGATCACACATCTGCACCCCTCCACGACTGCCAGCTTATGAAGGACCAGACTGCATGTCACCCATTTTCATAACCCCGGTAGAGTACCTGGCAGAGTGGCCATTCAATAAATACTATAGTACAAACACCGAAGGACAATGTCTTACAATTTTAAAGTGTTTTCGCATTTGTACCCTCCAACCATCCAATAAAATAGATAATGTAGCCTTTTTATAGATGCTATCATTATAACTTAGAAAGATCAAATAACACAATCAAGGTTACCAGCTATAAAAACCTGAAACAAATTCAGATCTCCAGACTCACAGTTCAGGAATTTTAGTAGTAATAAGCTGCTTAACTAAAATCAAATTACCTTTGTTCGTTTTGCTCAGAAAGCTTGTTTCCTAGGCATGTGCTCAACTCTAAATGTGAAGCATGTGCTTTCTCTTTTTAAGTTTGTGCTTCCACTAAAGGAGGAGCAGAGAAAATTAAAATTATGTAGTATGAGTGAAAGTTTGGAGTAATATAAGAGAGCCAGAGCTGATGACTGTTCTTCCAACATCTCTTACAAAATTATCTAAATTTACCTGTTACGATCTACAGGCCAATGACAACTTGTACTACCTAAAAAAGGAGGTATGGCACAAAACCATTTTTGTATTTTGTGGTATTTTTTTCTTTCTTTCTTTCTTTTTTCTTAGAGGTTTTTGCTATAGGGTGCGTGCGTTCGCCAGAAAGACAAGAGACAGAGAGACAGAAAGCGAGAAATCATCCCCCAGGGTGATGACCACGCTGCAATCCCTGCTCCTCCATTCTCTTCTTGGGATCTTGGGCATGCACACACACGCGCCTGGCATGAGTTTAAGCCACCGGGTCCAGGATTCGAACCACGGTCGACTACGTGGGAGTCCAGCAACATAGCCATTATGCTAACTGTTGGTCACTTTATGGTATTTTTCAAGCAAATGGAAACTACTATACTAAAAAAACAATTAACACTGAGCTAAACTTTTTTTTTTTTTTTTGCTATAGGACGCGTGCGCTCACCAGACAGAGAGAGAGAGAGAGAGAAAGCGAGAAATCACCCCCCAGGGAGGATGGCCACGCCGCAATCCCTTCTCCTCCATTCTCCTCTTGGGATCTTGGGCATGCACGCACATGCACCCGGCGTGAGTTTTAAGCCACCGGGTCCGGGACGCGAATCGCGGTTGACTACGTGGGAGTCCAGCGACATAGCCATTACACTAACTGCTGGTCCCTTTATGGTATTTTTTCAAGCAAATGGAAACTACTATACTAAAAACCAATTAACAATGAGCTAAATTATTTTTTTAAAAAGGCTCTTTGTGGGGCCGGCAGGTGGAGTGGTGGTTAGGGGTGCTGGATTCTCACATGGCTGACTGGTCCAAGTCCCGGACCTGGTAGCTTGCTTTCTCACTTTCCCTTTCTCTGATCAAATTAAAAAGTAACAGTAACAAATGGAATTAAATAAATAAATCTTAAAAAAAAAAAAGGGCTCTTTGCTTCTTTACCACAATGCATAGCTTTTTGCCAACTACTAACTGACAGTTGGATGTAACAGAGTATATTTTGAAAAATTGAAAGGGGTAGCCTAAGCTGATAATTACATCAGAGGGAGATAATCAGAACCTTCTGGTGGGCTCGTCAAACCTTACTCTTAACTCCATGAGAACAATGACATCCTCTGAGTCATTCTGATACAAATATCTATCATTTTCTTCTGTATGGAAATGAGAAAAAAAGGTTAACACCACACCTCTCTAGCAGATCATTTTCCATGTCATTTACCAAAAACTAAAACAGGTGAGTAAAATGCATGAGCATTAGCACATGGCCTGAAACAAAGAATCCGTTTCTCACTGAAGACTCAACAGGTAGTAGATAAATTCACAAAATGATGAAATAAGAAAATGAATATTTAATTACAAGAGTAAAATTCACTTCCTGAAGTTTCAAGTTTTATCTACCTGTTTTCCTTTCCTTATGCTCCAGTCTACATTTAATTAGCAGATCATACTGTCTGAAATACTTAAAGCAGTGTTTATGAGATTTCAAGTTTCCATACTAAGATTTCACCCTACACAACACTTAAAATATAAAACAATATGCTTTTAGAACTGAAAGTACTAGCTTGAGGCAACATCAATTTCTCAAGTGTGTGTGTGTGTGTGTGTGTGTGTGTGTATACACACATATAGACATGTGTACATATACACATATATACATATATACATGTGTGTGTACATGTGTGTGTATGTACATATGTATATCTCCCAGTAAGATAAAGCTTTTTACAGCATATGTATAGGTACTTTATTAGTTGGGGTTTTTTAATCTGCTAGGGAGCGTGAATGCTCATGGGAGAGACAGACAGAGACAGCAGCCCCCATGGAGAATGGTCACACTGCAATCCCTCCTCCTCCTCTCCTACCTTTCACGATTTGGAGCACACAAGTCCAGAGTGTTTTTCAAGCTCATGAGTCTGGGACACGAACTGCGCAGCTGGCCATGTGGCATCCAGCTGCCTTAACCACCACACCAGCTGGCCTTATGTAATTTGAATAGTACACAGAAATAAACGGAACACTTTTATCAACATTACCTCTGAATGAGCTTATCTCAGTGGTTAAAGGAACCAGAACCCACATGGTTGACAATGGTTCAAATTCCAGCCCTGATAGCCTGAAAAATATGGCAGGCACAGGTACGTGCATTGCCCCAAATCCCAATGGAAGAGGAATTTAGAAGGGACTACAGAATGACCACGCCCATTGGATGGCACTTTCTCCCTCTGTCTCTCTATGGCAAATGCACACAGCCTCTGGCAAATGGAGGGAGGGAGGGAGAAAAGTAAAGAAGTAAAGAGGGAAGGAGGGAAGAACAGAAAGAAGACAGGAGAGGGAATGAAGACGGTAATGGATGCCAGCCTGGGTGGGCAGCAAGAGCAAAGTCGTGGAAACAATAACCAGGCTGTGTGCCCACGTGCACATGAATACGTGACTGTGTTAGCTGGGGGAGGAGAAATGATCAGCAGGCAGCCTAACTACAGACGACAGTTTACAGGAGGGAAAAAACAGAAACTAGCTCTGGAAAGGCTGGGTGGGCAGCTTTTCAGAAGGCCTTGAAAACTAGATGTAGGACAGACAACATTTTCCTCCTGTAAAGGGACAGGGTTGAACTAGAGGTACTTGGTCTTTTCCAGCTCAAAAATGATGAGCCACTGCGCCACCTGCCGCCCAATCACTTGGAAATAGCTCGACTCGACACACAGCACCCATGAGCAACCGGGTCGGAGAAGCGGAGCTGTACATTCTAAGCCTAGCAACAACAGAAGCCGAGATAGTGTATCTGAAGGACAAGTGTCTGAATAAAACAAGGAGGTAAAAACTAGGTATTTTACAATGCCAGCCCAATACTGGGTCCATTATTTAACTGTTTTAAAAAAAAAGTTTTATAAAAATATAATCTGCAATCAGCTGAGATAATTATCCTGACTGACACAAAATTCAACGGAGGTGTCCAACATCCTTTATCAACTGCGTGGCCTTGAATACCCACCACACGGTCATCGTCATTCCGGACATCAGACTGGGCTGCCTGTCCCTGGGATGGATCACCCAGCTGTTCACTCTGGATGCTCGCCTGACTGCAGCTGGCAGCCAGAGGGGGCTGGTCATTACTCTGGAGTGAGGAATGCTCTGAATCTGTGGATGAAGGGAAGTTAGGTGCTGGAATGGCATCTTCAAGAACCAAACATATCAAGTCCCCAGAAACAATCCCATATGAAGCCAAGGTCTCTTCATCTCCAGTGAGGGCATCCTTGTTGTTCAATGTAATTGCAAATCGGGTATCAGAACTGCCAAGAAAGACGGACAAGGATAGTGAGAGCTATCTGTCAGCATTATCCTCAATAATACATTTGGAACATACATAAGGTACATAGTATGACCCCAGAAGAACTAAGTAATTTCATAAAAAGAAGGGAGAGGCCAAAGTTTTGAGAAAATTATCAAAATGATTTGTTCTTATTACTGAATGCTTGGGTTACAGATAGACTTCTAATGGCTAAAACTCTAGCCCGGGGGGCAGGATATAGTAACACTCATTAATTCACGTTTTCATCGATTCTAAGGTACATACTTTTTTATGTTTTGACATCTTTGAAATTGGAAGCTTCTTAAATCAACATATCAGATTATCTATTAATTATCAGCATCTTCGCCTCAGTGTTACATAAAATAATGGTATTTTACAACTGATAGCAACCGAGACTCAATGAAACACCCTTTCATAAAAAATGAGAATTAGATCTCATCATCCCTCTGCTTAAAACCCTCTATTAGCTTCTATCTGAATCTGGAATAGAATCCTTAACAGGGCCAAAAAGCCCAGTATTTGACCCCTTCCCACTTCTCTGTGGGGACTTGCTTGGCAGAACGCGCGTTTTCGAGTGGGGGGAGTGGCTGTGGATATTCTGTGCCATCCATGCTCTCACCCACTGTCCGCTATTCACGTGGGCGTACATCGTCCTCACTGCAGCCTTTGGGCACCACTTGCTCTTCCAAGTCTTCACATGACAGACTCATTCCCACCATTCATGTCTCAGTTCAAATGTCACCTCTTCAGAGATGTCTTTCACTCCGCCTCCTGCACTGTCTAATCCATTCCCAAGTTATCTTCCTACTGCAGCCTCACTAGTTGAAAACATCTCACTTGTCTACTATCTGTCTTCCCCAGCCCTACCACCAGAGCTTACGTTTCCTAAGAACAGAGATCTCCAGCACTTGGCACAGTAAGTATCTTGTGGAACAAATGCAACTACCAACATTAGCTGAGAAGATCAGGTGAGGGTGAAACTCTCAGCACGGCTGCCCATTCAGCATCCTGACAGGACCCTTTGCTTACATTGGCTTCAAAGTTCCAGATGTCTGTCCTGAATGAATAATCATCATCACATGTACATGGATGACTGCGCACAAATGCATCCTTCCTGCTGACGACAGGGTTAAGCTCACCCTTCCTACCAACGATCAGTTCAGATGCCTTATCTTTTTCTTTTTTTCAGTTTTTAAACTTACGATAGAGCAAATGTGCACACACGTGTGACAGTCACAATCTCCTTCCTGCAGTCCTCCAGTCTGTTGATTTTGGGCACTCGTACACATGCGTATTTCAGGCTAACCAGTCCAGGGATTCAAACCACAGTCGCCATGTGGTATCCAGCTTCCCACGAGCACTGCCTTACTGCTGTGCCACAGAACCAGCCCTCCAGTGTCGTTTATATGGAGGACAGTATAATGCAAACCCCCAAGCCCACTGCCAAACAAGCTAAGGGCTCAAATGGGCCTGAAGCAATAACCAGCCATCCCTTCCACAGCAGCCGATTTGATGTTGGGAAAATACCATCCTTTTTCATCACAGAACGGTGAGGAATAATGAACAGACATTTGTAAAACACGGGGAGGTAGGTGGTGCGGTGGTTAAGGCACTAGAGTCCCACATGACTGAACACGGTTCAAGTCCCAGACCTGGCAGCTTACTTTCTTACTTTCTCTCTCTCTGGTCAAATAAAAATATAATAATAACTGATTCTTTTAAAAACACATTTTATAAGGCATTTATACTCAGCAACACTCGTTTCCTTAATTTTTTGAGAAGTTAACAAAAGATGAAGTCCTTTAAAAATGATGTTCTATTTACTTTTTCTTACAATGTTGCATTTTTAAGTATTCCAACTAAGAGTTGTTTTTTTCTTTCACATGTAAATATTATCAATTAAAGTGCATTTGATAGAGGAATTACTGAAGTAAAACTATTCCTGCTTAGTAGAATACAACTGGCTCTGCTTCTGTGTTCAAAATGCTTTGATAGGGAACCAGCAGTTAGCGTAATGGCTGTGTCGCTGGATTCCCACGTAGTCGACCACGGTTCGTGTCCCGGACCCGGTGGCTTAAAACTCACGCCAGGCGCGTGTGCGTGCGTGCCCAAGATCCTGAGAGGAGAATGGAGGAGAAGGGATTGCGGTGTGACCATCCCCCCTGGGGGGTGATTTCTCGCTTTCTGTCTCTATGTGTCTCTCTGTCTGTCTGGCGAGTGCACGTGCCCTACAGTGAAAATCTCTCCAAAAAAAAATGCTTTGATAAACCAAATGTTGAAAATCTGCCAGCTGCCCATAAAAACACAACTCAACTTTGGCAGAAAAAGGACAACACCTAAAATTAACTATGTGTTTATGGATCTCTGCCACAGCATAAGGTTGTTTGGTTTCAAACAGCATCTAGCACAATGTACTTTCAAATACCTATTTGGAGAAAAGGTGAAAAACAGTCTGTTTAATAAAACTGCCAACTTTCCCTCCCACTTCAAAATAGGGGAGAACTATTTTTAAAGTAATATGCAGTTTTCCAAAGTTCTATTTTCCAAAACTGGAGGGGGGGGGGTATTTAACTTCACAAGGAAATGAAAAGTCCAGAAACTCCAGGCTCTTAGAAGTATTTTATGGCAAACCTACATCCACTTGTTCAGTGAAGACACTTTTAAAACAACAATGCCATGTGGACACATTTTAAAACTGCCCTGTATGACAAAGTGAACCATTCAGAAGAATGGACTCACTTCCACAAGCTGAAGCTCAAATTCCTTCCAGCCTCAACTGTGAAAACAAAGCTGAAAGAGAAACTAAGTTGGGCTCTTGGGCAAACAGTCATACTGGGTTTCACTTCCTTTCAAGACAGCCCTGCCTAATGAAAAAGTAATAATAAAAACATATACATGGGAACATGTTAAAAAAGACAGGTTAATTTATAAGTTGATGGTGAGGTAATGATGCCAACACGTAATACCATCAGGTTAAAGACCAAGAAATAGCAACAGGCATGATACTTGCTATAATGTTTAAAAGGAGTCATATCAACACCTCGTTTCTTGGGTTTCATTTGGTTTAATCTAATAAAATGCCTTAACCTGAAAAATAAAAAGGTGAGAAGTTCATAAAATGGGGCCTGGTTTTATGAATTTTCTAAAACCAAAACGAAAGCATGTGAGAGTCTTATAAAGGAGCCAGAAAACAGAAGGGTTTTCTTTTCTTTTGAAGAATTCACCTAAAAAGCCCCAGGGAACACGATGTTTTTTTTCTGAGCACACATAAATTTCACATTCACTAGCTCACTAGCTTACACTACCCCTTTACTCCCATTATTGTCTGCACAAAATACCTTCTGGGGAAACAGACTAGCTTGGGGGGGGGGGGGCAGTTCAAAAAAGG